AAAAAAAAAAAAAAAAAAAGAAGAAGAAGAATGAAAATAAAAAGTGCAGAACATACCTGTTGAAAGAAGTTGTTGTACTGTTGAAGAAGAAGAAAAACCCTAGTTTGAAGAAGACAAATCATTGCTTGAAGTTAATGAAGAAGAGAGGAAGAAATCGCTGCTTTTGTGTGAACCCTAGTTTCTCGCTAGTTTATCGCTGCTGAAGAGTCCAGACTAAAACAGAATCAGCCAAGTTTTAATTAAATAGGGCTTTGGGTATTTTAATTAAAAAAGCGTCCGCTTCGCTCGCTTCTTCTCGCTTCACCGCTTCTCCCTTTTTACAGAGAAGCGATCGCTTTTTCTACCAGAGTCGCTTTTTCTGCCAGTAGCGCTGACCCTTCCGCTCCGCTTCGCTCCTCGCTTAAAGCGAGGAAGCGCTCTCTTTTTTAATCACTGCCATTGACTGCATTAGAATTGAGAAAGAAAGGTAAGTTCAACCTTATTAAGAGGAGGCATAGCAACTGAGAAAGATCTATTTTGCTTTATAATCAATTAATCACAAACACTTCCTTTAAGTAGTTTTGAAAACTGTTATAAAATGAATCCAAATTACCAAAAACGTAAGAAGCTAAGAGTGTCTTTTTCTTGAACTTTTGCAAGCTGCAGAAATTATGAAGAATTACTGTATCTTGAAATTAAAAATCTGAAAGGAAAAGAATGAAGAGTACTAAAAGACTATGCTAAGACTCTTCAAAGATGTGAAATGACTGACCTTTTTCTTTATATCAGCAAACAAGAGACATCATTAATAAAAATAAAACCAGATACCAAGAATGTGATTGGTAAAGTACAAGAGTGGGCTATGCCCAAAAAGAAGAAAAGAAGGGAATCGCCTCTATATGAAAGATCCTACTCCTGAAACGAGCTAATGAAATCTATCATATACGTCCTGATAATTGCACCAAAAGGCTAGCATCCGCAAGCATCTGTAGTTCATCTCCTTTACAGTGATTGCTTTGCACTCAAAACACCTAAAGTTCCTTTCTTTCCAGAGCACCCAACATATAAACCTGGGATAGTTTTCCACATTTCCTTCAGAGACTTATTTCTTCCTTTGACACCCCAACCAAGCAATAGATCCTTCAGAGGGTTTGGCATGACCCATCTCAATTTAAACATGCTAAGGAACAGATCCCGTAGCTGTTTAGCAATCCAGCAGGCTTTCCATTCTCTTCTACCTTGTTGTGAAGGTAGCATCTGTTACACATTGCAAAACCTCTTCTTTGGAGATTGGACTGTGTTAGACAGGCATGCTACTTTGTAAGGTGCTTTTGATTTCCGTATATTTCGACGGCCAGGCTTAAAAGTTATTGCCTCCTCTATTCAACCAAGTGTAGCTAGATTTAACAGAGAAAAGTCTTTGACTTTGTCCCTTCCAATAGATGGAATCGCTGAATTGGGTAAAGTATGCTTTTAGAATTCAACTTTCCTAATATTTTTCCTTTAATTTTGTCTCTGATGAACTGCATCTTCATTTTTATTTTGGCGAATGTTCATATGAGGTTAATTGATTTATTATGACATCTTCACGTGATTTATCAAAATAAAGCAAATGATATCTTCATGTGACTGAGGATGCTTCAACATGCAGGTTACATATCACTTCTTTCATTGGAAGAAAGGAACCCCTTTTGCTGATGACCAGGGAATGTACAATCAATTGACCTGGTGGGAGCAAATTGACAATGGGAAACAGCTCACTCGTAACAGGAAATTCTTAACTGTTGTGCCTGTTGTGCTGTAAGTTCATGTTTTCTTTTTGTTGACATTCACAATCTGGTTTGGAAATGCTATTATCATCATGACTTACCCCAAAAGAAGAGGGAAGAGGG